GGGATGGGAGAAGGGGATGAGGGAGAGTAAGGGGGATGGGATGAGGGAGGGAAGATGATAGTGGTCTGAGGTCGAGGGAAGGAGAGCGTGGTGGAGGGGTGGTGAGAGTGGCCTCACTCCTACCACAATGTAGTGAGTAAAGTCCTGTGTATTGTTGTGTGCGTATTAGAGCGGCAGTGAGGCACAATCCTCCCGCTCACCTCTCAACACAAAACAATAACAAAGGTGGTGTGAGGAGCGGCTGGGGGTCCCTCGGGCCCAACTCTTTCCTGCTATCTTGGGCTCGTCCGCCAGGGTGCGGGGCGGAGGGGCCCGGCCGCCCCGCTCTCTCCTCCCACCGCCAAAAATAGGGAAACAAATGGGCCGGTAGGGGCCAGAATAGGTTTCGGGCCCCAGGAAAAAAGACCAAAGAATATTTCAATTTTTTTTTTATTGTAGTTGAAAATTGAAGAGGGCTGTATTTTATACAGTCTTGTGTATTGTATCCGTTGCCTGAGCGATGGAAGTCTTCTCACTAACTCTGCCATATAGCTGCCATAGTCAATAATATTCCAATATTACGGAGACCCCGTCAAGGCGGCCATACTGATGACCCTGCACACGTCCGCCCCAGCAAGCTTTACAACCATAAACTTCCCTTAAAATTGTATTTCCGATATCTAGCCCCAGAGGCGGCCGGCCTCCACGCCCTAGTTATGTAAATGTTGCGGTGGTGGCTCCCAGAGGCAGCGGTGTGGTGGTGGCTCTCAGAGGCAGCGGTGTGGTGGTGACTCTCAGAGGCAGCGGTGTGGTGGTGACTCCCAGAGGCAGCGGTGTGGTGGTGGCTCTTAGAGGCAGCAGTGTGGTGGTGGCTCTCAGAGGCAGCGGTGTGGTGGTGGCTCTTAGAGGCAGCAGTGTGGTGGTGGCTCTCAGAGGCAGCAGTGTGGTGGTGGCTCCCAGAGGCAGCAGTGTGGTGGTGGCTCTCAGAGGCAGCGGTGTGGTGGTGGCTCTTAGAGGCAGCGGTGTGGTGGTGACTCTCAGAGGCAGCGGTGTGGTGGTGGCTCTCAGAGGCAGCGGTGTGGTGGTGGCTCTCAGCGGTGTGGTGGTGGCTCTCAGAGGCAGCGGTGTGGTGGTGGCTCTTAGAGGCAGCAGTGTGGTGGTGTCTCTCAGAGGCAGCGGTGGTGGTGGTGAGGCAGCAGTGTGGTGGTGGCTCTCAGAGGCAGCGGTGTGGTGGTGAGGCAGCGGTCTCAGAGGCAGCGGTGTGGTGGTGGCTCTCAGAGGCAGCGGTGTGGTGGTGGCTCTTAGAGGCAGCGGTGTGGTGGTGACTCTCAGAGGCAGCGGTGTGGTGGTGACTCTCAGAGGCAGCGGTGTGGTGGTGGCTCTCAGAGGCAGCGGTGTGGTGGTGACTCTCAGAGGCAGCGGTGTGGTGGTGACTCTCAGAGGCAGCGGTGTGGTGGTGGCTCTCAGAGGCAGCGGTGTGGTGGTGGCTCTCAGAGGCAGCGGTGTGGTGGTGGCTCTCAGAGGCAGCGGTGTGGTGGTGGCTCTCAGAGGCAGCGGTGTGGTGGTGGCTCCCAGAGGCAGCGGTGTGGTGGTGGCTCTCAGAGGCAGCGGTGTGGTGGTGACTCTCAGAGGCAGCGGTATGGTGGTGACTTAGAGGCAGCAGTGTGGTGGTGGCTCTCAGAGGCAGCAGTGTGGTGGTGGCTCCCAGAGGCAGCAGTGTGGTGGTGGCTCTCAGAGGCAGCGGTGTGGTGGTGACTCCCAGAGGCAGCGGTCTCAGCTGCCTCCAGCCTAAACGCAAAATTAACTTAATTTATATCTGGAAGAGAGATTGTGTGTCTGTCCAAGATCGGAGGCCACTCATGGGGGTTGTATCATCACCCAACTTTGCAGAAGGAATGGTATGGGGTACGGGACAAACAAGGCAGCACGGGCTGGCCAGAATTGAAAAGGGAACAACGTGTCAGTCACATACTCACCCCCCCCCCCATCCCCATAACTCCCGCCAGCTACGCCTGGCTGAATATTTTAAAAATTAAAAATTCATAACTTTTTCCTTACACTAATGTGAACAATTATGCATTGACCTCGGTAAAATTGACATAATTTTTATAATCATCAAACATTGTCTATAGTTGCCTAAAACAGATGATCCTTCTATAGCTTCAAAGGATACCTGAAGCTGCACCCTTTTCTCACAGCCAAAGAGAAATTATTTTATATTCACCCAGCACGGCTCCTCCCACCGGCAGATCATCCACACACCAATGGAAAACTATTATATATTTTTGTATAGCAGAGAGATCAGCAAATAGACTGTTAGAGTCAGAATGAGAAAGAGATAAACAGAGACAGAGAATGAGAAAGCAGTAAAGAGAGACAGACAGACAGAAGTAGACAGACACAGACATGCAGAGAGAGCGGGTCCACCAGGGCAAAGAGGAACACAGAACAACAGTGACAAACAACAACAGACGGAGACAGAGACAGGGAGAAAAGGAAGTAGAAGGGGATAACGGGATATTAGCAGAGAGGGGAGGAGAGCAGAGACAGGTAGAGGAGGAGGAAGAAGAGGGGGGGGAAGGTGGAAAGAGAAGAAGAGAGAAGAGAAGGAGGAGGAGGAGGAATACGAGAAGAGAGGGGGGTACAGGAAAAGGTAGATGTGATACTGGGAGAGAGGGAGGGCGCGATTGGAGAGGAGGGAAATTGGGAGTGAGAGGCAAGAGGTGAGATGTTGAGGCGGGGAGAGCTGGGGGAGGGGGGGGGTGTGAGGGAGTAAGGAAAGGGAAGAAGATGTGAAAAAGGTGGTGAGTGGAATAGGGGAAGAGGGAGAGAGACCCGGACGCAGCCGGGGACTCCTCTAGTGACTTGTTTGGGAAACAGGAACAAACTCAGAAGTTCGTTACCGGGTAAAATGCTCAACTTGCAAACAGTTAAGCGGTGACTGGAAGTCGAACCCTTGAGTGACACTCCCAGACACATCCCGTGTTCACACAGCAACTTTGACAAAGGAGAAATACTTGGGACATGATTCAGACATTCAAAATACTGAGAGGCTATGGGTGATTTAAGGGTATTGACGTGACAAGAGGACATTCATGGAAGCTAGACACACAGGCGAGGCACAAGGAAGTGAGTACTTATCTACTTATATGTACCAGTAGCAAGCAAGCAAGCAAGTGGACGGAAGTAGCAGTAGTTACCTCCTTCCATAGCTAAACAAAACCAGTTGGAAATGCGGGACTCAGGAGCTGAAGCTCGGCGCTGCCAGCTTTATTAGGTAAGATGAGTTCCTCCTGAAGACGGTGACACTAATAGCAAGACAAATGAGGCCCAACTACAGGCTGTAATTACCTTGTTGATACACGGCCATCGTCCCCTCGTCTCCCCTCTGCCTCTCACTCTCCCCCTCTCACTGTGACCTTCCACCCCCTCTCCACCGTGACATCCCCCCCCCTCCCCGGTTAACACGTGGTCCGAGACGTCTCTGGCCACCTACCATGACCTCGTGAACACTTCATAGAACAAAGACCCGCACCTTACTTGTAGCACCTTACAGTGTTCAGCAAACACTGAGGCACTACAGTGTTGGGTAAAGTTCTCCCTACAGTGTTTCTCTGAACCATTTGTCCCTGGATAAAATCCTGGGTGTGTGTGACTGGTTGACATGACTGGACGCCTGTCATGTGCTGTCGTAAAGCAGCAGATCAACGATGGCTGGGAGTGGTTGACCGCTCTCTGGCACACACAGTGATTATGTCTCCCGGACTTGGTGCCTTCTGATTATTACTCCCCAATCCTGCCCCTCACTTTCCTCATGTCCTCCACCACCTCTCACTTTCCCCTCTCTCCTCTCCTCACTTTACATATTGAGTCACTGTCAGTCCTTTTTTACTCTGTCCTTATCTCTCATTTGATCGATGTATTTAGTGATAGAATAACTTATTGTCAAGTTCATTCCCTTCAGCGTATGAAAGGTACACATGTACTGGCATCATAGGACCTAGGGGGAGACAGGACCTACGTAGCACTATATGCGTCGATGACATGAAACTATATCGGCCTTGTAGTGGGGATGTAAGTAATGGTGGTGAGACGTGTGTCGTGGAGGCCCCAGGAGGTGGTGGAGCAGAGTGCTGGGTACTCACGTGTACACTCTCCCACCATCACTCACACGTCACTTCCTCAGTGGAAATGTCACCACTCAGAAAGTTCAAGATCTGACGCACTTATTCAGTGTTTAGGATTTTGTGTTTATATAGTGAAATGACTTGTGTCTGGAGCCCTGGGAGTGTGTATGTGGGCACATGGGGGTCCGCGTGTTACTCTCAGGGGACAGGCAGCGTGTGTGTGTGAGCTACAAGAGTGACCAGCGTGTACTAATGTACGCTTGTAACCATGCCATACGTGCTTATGCCACATCCTCTCTTACACTCGATCATTAAACTCACTTTCACTCTCCCACTCTGCCATCACTTTGGCAAAAGGAATATACTTCAATGTGGAAATATTTCCGAGTGAAATGCTGGAGTGTTAGGGACGAGTGCAGGCACAAAGTGGCACAAAACCCCCAGCACGTTAAGCTCAGCTCCCTGGCACCCCGTTCACACCTGCGAGTACTCGGGCCGAGCCGGCCAGTGCTGCACACTGGGTTCAACACCACTCTCCAGTACTGACAGTAGGTGATGCGGTCCAGTAACGCCAGTAACTAGCACCAGCAGCGGCAAGAAAGTAACTACTAGTAACGACAGTAACGACAGTAAAGTAACTCCGGGCACCAATAACGTTCCAACTGCAGCATATAATTTTATTTTGATTTCCTGATAACTCAATCGTTTTTAATTTCCAGGGAAATAGCATTTCGTTTGTGAGGTAATAATCAGGCAGACACATCTAAATTAGAGGGAATATGGAGGCGGCGGGAGGTGGGAGGTGGGCACAAGGTGGTGCAGGAGAGGAACATTATCTGGGGCTGGCGATGGTGAGTTATCTTCACTATCACCACTATCAGCACAGGTACTCACCCTCTTCCACATGTAGATGTACGCCACCTCCATCAGCGTCCAGCCGTCCAGCAGGCGGTCGTCACCGTACAGGAGCTCCACCTGGGGGGAGACAAGCAGGTTACTAGCACTGTACCTACGGTGATGTTACTGTGTACCTGGGGGGGGGAGACAAGCAGGTTACTGTAGCACTGTACCTACGGTGATGTTACTGTGTACCTGGGGGGAGAGACAAGCAGGTTACTAGCACTGTACCTACGGTGATGTTACTGTGTACCGGGGGGGAGACAAGCAGGTTACTAGCACTGTACCTACGGTGATGTTACTGTGTACCTGGGGGGGGGAGACAAGCAGGTTACTGTAGCACTGTACCTACGGTGATGTTACTGTGTACCTGGGGGGAGAGACAAGCAGGTTACTAGCACTGTACCTACGGTGATGTTACTGTGTACCGGGGGGGGAGACAAGCAGGTTACTAGCACTGTACCTACGGTGATGTTACTGTGTACCTGGGGGGGGAGACAAGCAGGTTACTGTAGCACTGTACCTACGGTGATGTTACTGTGTACCTGGGGGGAGAGACAAGCAGGTTACTAGCACTGTACCTACGGTGATGTTACTGTGTACCGGGGGGGGAGACAAGCAGGTTACTAGCACTGTACCTACGGTGATGTTACTGTGTACCTGGGGGGGGGAGACAAGCAGGTTACTGTAGCACTGTACCTACGGTGATGTTACTGTGTACCGGGGGGGAGACAAGCAGGTTACTAGCACTGTACCTACGGTGATGTTACTGTGTACCTGGGGGGAGACAAGCAGGTTACTAGCACTGTACCTACGGTGATGTTACTGTGTACCTGGGGGGAGACAAGCAGGTTACTAGCACTGTACCTACGGTGATGTTACTGTGTACCTGGGGGGGAGACCAGCAGGTTACTAGCACTGTACCTACGGTGATGTTACTGTGTACCTGGGGGGGCCAGCAGGTTACTAGCACTGTACCTACGGTGATGTTACTGTGTACCTGGGGGGGGGAGACAAGCAGGTTACTAGCACTGTACCTACGGTGATGTTACTGTGTACCTGGGGGGCCAGCAGGTTACTAGCACTGTACCTACGGTGATGTTACTGTGTACCTGGGGGGGGGGAGACAAGCAGGTTACTAGCACTGTACCTACGGTGATGTTACTGTGTACCGGGGGGGGAGACAAGCAGGTTACTAGCACTGTACCTACGGTGATGTTACTGTGTACCTGGGGGGACAAGCAGGTTACTGTAGCACTGTACCTACGGTGATGTTACTGTGTAGGTAACACCTCCCTCAGTAGTGAGTCATATTGTCTAATTCGTTTGCTTCAGGCTAAACAATATATATCACAGATTATTTTAAATTCATAAAATAGAGTTTACGGGCTATTCCCATGGTGGCCACACCTTCCCCCCCCCCCCCCGAGGGTGGGCCACACCTCTCCCCCGAGGGTGGGGCCACACCTCTCCCCCGAGGGTGGGGCCACACCTCTCCCCCGAGGGTGGGGCCACACCTCTCCCCCGAGGGTGTGGCCCCACCTCTCCTCCCCCGAGGGTGGGGCCCCACCTCTCCTCCCCCGAGGGTGGGGCCACACCTCTCCTCCCCCGAGGGTGGGGCCACACCTCTCCCACGAAGGTGTGGCCACACCTCTCCCCCGAGGGTGGGGCCACACCTCTCCCCCGAGGGTGTGGCCCCACCTCTTCTCCCCCGAGGGTGGGGCCACACCTCTCCTCCCCCGAGGGTGGGGCCACACCTCTCCCACGAAGGTGTGGCCACACCTTTACCCCGAGGGTGGGGCCACACCTCTCCCCCGAGGGTGGGGCCACACCTCTCCCCCGAGGGTGGGGCCACACCTCTCCCCCGAGGGTGTGGCCACACTCACAGCTCCCTGGCAAGAGGGAGCCAGCTTAGCTTAGCTGCCAACACCCACACATGGTGTCAGCAAGGCGGACAGCCCGCCTGCTTTCATACCTCTCACTGTATTTCCCACTTCTATACTTCCCTGTGCCTCTCCCTCCTCTTTACTCCCCCCCCCCCCCAACCCCAAAAAAATTGTTCACCGTAGCACCACAGTGGTTCACCGTAACATCACCAGCACCACAGTGGTTCACCGTAACATCACCAGCACCTCAGTGGTTCACCGTAACATCACCAGCACCACAGTGGTTCACCGTAACATCACCAGCACCACAGTGGTTCACTGTAACGTCACCAGCACCACAGTGGTTCACTGTAACGTCACCAGCACCACAGTGGTTCACTGTAATGTCACCAGCACCACAGTGGTTCACTGTAATGTCACCAGCACCACAGTGGTTCACCGTAACATCACCAGCACCACAGTGGTTCACTGTAACGTCACCAGCACCACAGTGGTTCACTGTAATGTCACCAGCACCACAGTGGTTCACTGTAATGTCACCAGCACCACAGTGGTTCACTGTAATGTCACCAGCACCACAGTGGTTCACCGTAACATCACCAGCACCACAGTGGTTCACTGTAACGTCACCAGCACCACAGTGGTTCACTGTAATGTCACCAGCACCACAGTGGTTCACCGTAACATCACCAGCACCAAAGTGGTTCACTGTAACGTCACCAGCACCACAGTGGTTCACTGTAATGTCACCAGCACCACAGTGGTTCACCGTAACATCACCAGCACCACAGTGGTTCACTGTAACATCACCAGCACCACAGTGGTTCACCGTAACATCACCAGCACCACAGTGGTTCACTGTAACATCACCAGCACCACAGTGGTTCACTGTAATGTCACCAGCACCACAGTGGTTCACTGTAACGTCACCAGCACCACAGTGGTTCACTGTAATGTCACCAGCACCACAGTGGTTCACTGTAATGTCACCAGCACCACAGTGGTTCACCGTAACATCACCAGCACCACAGTGGTTCACTGTAACGTCACCAGCACCACAGTGGTTCACTGTAATGTCACCAGCACCACAGTGGTTCACCGTAACATCACCAGCACCAAAGTGGTTCACTGTAACGTCACCAGCACCACAGTGGTTCACTGTAATGTCACCAGCACCACAGTGGTTCACCGTAACATCACCAGCACCACAGTGGTTCACTGTAACATCACCAGCACCACAGTGGTTCACCGTAACATCACCAGCACCACAGTGGTTCACTGTAACATCACCAGCACCACAGTGGTTCACTGTAATGTCACCAGCACCACAGTGGTTCACTGTAATGTCACCAGCACCACAGTGGTTCACTGTAACGTCACCAGCACCACAGTGGTTCACTGTAACATCACCAGCACCACAGTGGTTCACTGTAACATCACCAGCACCACAGTGGTTCACTGTAACATCACCAGCACCACAGTGGTTCACTGTAACGTCACCAGCACCACAGTGGTTCACTGTAACGTCACCAGCACCACAGTGGTTCACTGTAACATCACCAGCACCACAGTGGTTCACCGTAACATCACCAGCACCACAGTGGTTCACCGTAACATCACCAGCACCACAGTGGTTCACTGTAATGTCACCAGCACCACAGTGGTTCACTGTAACGTCACCAGCACCACAGTGGTTCACCGTAACAATCAACAGTAACTTCGTCGCTAAAGTAATTGTTAAGAGTCCGTCACTCTTGCTCCTTCCCACTACGGGAAGGAAAAAAAGATTGGTCAATCAATTTAAAGAGTAATCAATCACTCCTTTATCTAATCACTAATCACCACGCTTATAATGACTCCCCCACGGGAGAGTCTTTCACAGCTCCCTCCCCTAGACCTGCCTCATCCTGCCCTCCCCTAGACCTGCCTCATCCTGCCCTCCCCTAGACCTGCCTCATCCTGCCCTCCCCTAGACCTGCCTCATCCTGTCCTCCCCTAGACCTGCCTCATCCTGCCCTCCCCTAGACCTGCCTCATCCTGTCCTCCCCTAGACCTGCCTCATCATGCCCTCCCCTAGACCTGCCTCATCCTTCCCTCCCCTAGACCTGCCTCATCCTGCCCTCCCCTAGACCTGCCCCATCCTGCCCTCCCCCTAGACCTGCCTCATCCTGCCCTCCCCTAGACCTGCCCCATCCTGCCCTCCCCTAGACCTGCCCCATCCTGCCCTTCCCTAGACCTGCCCCATCCTGCCCTCCCCTAGACCTGCCCCATCCTGCCCTCCCCTAGACCTGCCTCATCCTGCCCTCCCCTAGACCTGCCTCATCCTGCCCTCCCCTAGACCTGCCTCATCCTGCCCTCCCCTAGACCCGCCCCATCCTGCCCTCCCCTAGACCCGCCCCATCCTGCCCTCCCCTAGACCCGCCTCATCCTGCCCTCCCCTAGACCTGCCCCATCCTGCCCTCCCCCTAGACCTGCCCCATCCTACCCTCCCCCTAGACCTGCCTCATCCTGCCCTTCCCTAGATCTGCCTCATCCTGCCCATCCCTAGACCTGCCTCATCCTGCCCTCCCCTAGACCTGCCCCATCCTGCCCTCCCCTAGACCCGCCCCATCCTGCCCTCCCCTAGACCTGCCTCATCCTGCCCTCCCCTAGACCTGCCTCATCCTGCCCTCCCCTAGACCTGCCTCATCCTGCCCTCCCCTAGACCCGCCCCATCCTGCCATCCCATAGACCCGCCCCATCCTGCCCTCCCCTAGACCTGCCTCATCCTGCCCTCCCCTAGACCTGCCCCATCCTGCCCTCCACCTAGACCTGCCTCATCCTGCCCTTCCCTAGATCTGCCTCATCCTGCCCTTTCCTAGACCTGCCCCATCCTGCCCTCCCTTAGACGTGCCTCATCCTGCCCTCCCCTAGACCTGCCCCATCCTGCCCTCCCCTAGACCTGCCTCATCCTGCCCTTCCCTAGACCTGCCTCATCCTGCCCTCCCCTAGACCTGCCTCATCCTGCCCTTCCCTAGACCTGCCCCATTCTGCCCTTTCCTAGACCTGCCCCACCCTGCCCTTCCGTAGACCTGCCTCATCCTGCGCCTTCCCTAGACCCGCCCCATCCTGCCCTTCCCTAGATCTGCCTCATCCTGCCCTCCCCTAGACCCGCCCCATCCTGCACTTCCCTAGACCTGCCCCATCCTGCCC